GAGAGAGAGAGAGAGAGAGAGAGAGAGAGAGAGAGAGAGAGAGAGAGAGAGAGAGAGAGAGAGAGAGAGAGAGAGAATTTGGGTGAAGGAAATGAACTGGTCACCTCGCTGGGTTTAACAGAATGCTCTTTTTTTCTTCAGTTCTGTAGTCTAAGCTCAGTTTGGTTCTCCTACCCCTGTCGGTGTTGTGATTGGTTCAGGTAATTGGCGATCATATGAGAGCGGTTGTCTATCTAATTTCAGATGGAGTAGTGCCTTCAAACATTGGACGGGGGTATGTAGCTCGTCGTTTGATTCGCAGGGCGGTGAGGATGGGTCGGCTTCTTGGAATAAAGGGTGGGGGCATTGGCAATGAGGAAGGGGCATTTTTGCCAGCCTTGGCAGAAGTTGTCGTCAAGATGTCACGGGACGTCGATCCAGATGTTGAAAATAATGCTACCCGAATTCAGGAGGAACTAAAGCGAGAGGAGATGAGGTTGGCTATCTCTACGATCAATGCAACCAACCACCCTACGTGACTCCACTCCTTCATCCTCCACATTCTCTCTTCTTTCTTTCTGAATATTTCTACTGGCACAAGAGCTCATCATGTGGTCCCACCAATTTATTTATTCTTACGAATCATGTTTTGTTGTTGTTGTTGTTGTTTTTTCAATTCCACACAAGTTTGAGGATTATGCTAGCAGAGACTGTGTCCGACGCCGTGCGTATCATTTTTTTTTTTACCGTCATCATTATCATTTTTTGGTTTTTGGATTTTTTTGTTTGCAGACAGCGACCTGTAGAGTATGAGATTCAAGTTAAGGACAGAAGCCGTCAGATGAGCCATGATCGGATGGAGGGATAGCATGGCCACCCTCTTCACTCCGATTTTCGATGTCCAGGGGAGTGGCCCAGGCCCGTCACACGGCCTTGCGTTAGCTAATCCACTTTTTTCTAGCGGGACCAGGCCCCAGCATGGTCTGGTTTTCTGTTGCCAGTCTTCCAGATACAAATTTGAGGGTCCAAAATGACAAGGCCCCCCTAAGTGAAGGCGGGCTTGGAGGGAAGATGGAGGCCCTGAGTGAAGGCCGGCCGGCGGTGGTACTGGTGTGCTGAGACAGGCACCAGCCCCTATAACTAACCGGTAGGCCCAGCCTCCAGTTACTTACAGAGGCTGGGACCTGGACTCCGTCGAATGGGCAGCAGGCACTGCCTGCTGGGTCACAGTACACGGCCTCGAGAAGAGATGAAAAGAGGGAGGCCGCTAGGCAGAGCACAATCAGGCATTGGCAGCGTTGGGACGGCGTGACAGCGCATTCATTGTGGGCAGAGTGTGCCCGTGCAGGACTAGGCAACTGCGGTGGCTGCTGTGCTACAGGTAGCACCTGCCATAGCAGGGGAGCTGTAGCATATCAGAAAGTGAAATGCACTGAAAGCCTAGGATCTAGCAATGACGAAAGTGGCAACAACCAGCAGCATAGGTGCAACATTCACAAGGTGTCAATGTGCGCGACGCAAAGAGTGAAACAACGGGAAATCAATAACAACACATTCGTATCATCATCATCATAGGCTGGGAAGCAGCGCAGCGGAAGATATAGTATCAAAGGACACGTGGACAACAACATGAAAGGGAGAAACTTCGGAAGGGCAAGAC